ACCAGAACGGTCATTCTTCGTAGAAGAAGAAAGCCGAAGATTCACCGCAAACCGAAACCTGCAGGTAACCAGTTTATTGAATCTACTGAAACTCAAGGTGAGGTTATTACAGATCCAAATAGCAGTGCAACTGCAACACCGGCACCTGATGAGCACGATAAGGATGAGGAACGAGAAGAGGCCATCAAATGCTTATCATGTTTCAGCTTCTGCATTCCTACAGGTATTATATATCACGCCGATTTATATCTATTAGTAAAAGAATATTTATTTTATAAATTAAAATTTTGAATTCATATATAAAGAAATTAATTTTTTTTAAAAACACACTTACCATATTAGTTTAGTATGACGTCAAAGTCAAAGTTTTATAATAGCTAATACAAGTGTTTAAGCCACCCTTTGAATTTCTTTTTCTTTTATATGAACCTGAGTTGTTTCGTTTGTTTTTTTTTTTTTCAATTAATCTGACACTCGCACTTGAATAGTACAATGTCACGAACAAGAAAACTGAAACATAATACCATATGACTCCAATTCCATCTCTCCATTTAAGCTTTGCTTAGTAGTAATTTCGATTTCTTGTCTTATGTAGAAGTTGATCCTATTCCTATTCTTTAGTAACTTTACCAATTTTACTTCCTCCTCCAACCTTGCTGAATGTTTTTACTTTAGGCTTATGGAAACGAAACATAGGTATTTTCCATTTAAATTTTTTTGCCATAATTTTTCGAATTTATTTTTCCTTAATCTCATATTTCTTAACGGCTGTCATCTTAGCTCCTTCGGTAAATCTTGCAGGAAGTGGTTTCTGGATTTTCCAGGCTCCCAAAGGAGGCCAAGTGATTGAAAGCCCGCAAATCCCAGAAGAAGATCAGATACCTTCAGACAGGACAAAATGTTGGTTGTTCGGTATTTTTACATCGGTCAAGAGGGAAACACCTGTTGAGCAAGGTAGTGTTTTCTTTTTCTCTTGTAATTTTATCTTAAACTAACCAAAAATTACATAATAATCTTGTGTTTATTATGTTTTCTAGTAGTTCTTAATTTCAACTTGTTGTGCCATTCAATTACGATGCAGGGGCCGACCTTGAAGCAGGGCCAGTAGAAACGATAGATTCAAATGATATTGCAGGCAACGCTGTTGTTACATATGCCAGCGCTAGTGAACCCCGTGGACTGGAAATTCTAAAAAGCATTGTTTATGGTGGTTTAATTGAATCAATTACAAGTTTAGGTGTTGTGTCATCTGCAGCAGGTGGTGGTGCTTCCACATGTAAGTGGGGTTCTAGTGTTTCTTGAAGTTGAGATAAGCACAATCTACTGGTCTTTTTTCGTTTTTATTAAATTTTCCAACTTTGTTGTTTGTATGGTATATATGTTTCAATATAATTGATAGTTAATAATCTAATATTTAATTATTGATACTATTATTGTTATTTATAATCCGAATACTATTATTTGTTTGATTAAAACCAAACAGCTAATCCAACCAAAATCTACATTTTCTCGACATAATTTTTCATTTTGCCCAGCAGTGAACATTTTAGCTTTGGGATTGGCGAATTTGATCAGTGGCCTGATCATCCTTATTCACAGCGTAAGTGGATTCATAGAATTTCATTTAATTTTATTTGTATATATATGTTTCTTTCAACTTTGAATGATTGAAATCTTGCAGCTTAGCGACTTGAAAAATGACCGATCTGGAGCTGAAGGGGTTATCGGTGAAATCAGTACTCAAGAAGACCGGTACCAAGAACTACTAGGGCGAAGAGAGAACTTTTGTTTGCACACAACCGTGTCTATTTTATCATACCTCATCTTTGGTCTGGTTCCTCCAGTTGTCTATGGCTTCTCGTTTCGACAGAGCAATGACACAGACCTCAAGCTTGCAGCAGTTGCGGCTGCTTCTTTTGTATGCATCATTTTGCTTGCAATTGGGAAAGCTTACGTTGGAAAGGCACCAAGAAGCTACTTCAGAACTGTATTATTCTATGTGATTGCAGGGTTTTCTGCCTCTGGGGTGTCGTTTTTAGTTGGTGAATTGGTGAGAAAACTCTTAGAGAAGCTGGGTTGGTTTGAGTCAAGTTCAGATCTCATAATGCCTCTTTTGGAAGCCAAAACATTTGAGGGAGAATGGGCATCCTTTTGAAGTCCTAGGATTATTTTAGTCATTTTGGAAAAGAAGCTTTTCGGAATAATTTTGGTCTTGGTTTGCCACTGGTTTTGCTGAATGTGAACCTTCTCTATCTTTTTTTTCCCTATTGGTGTGATAATTGCATTAATCATTTAGTAACTCCTGAAGATATAGTATATGAAATGAAAGAACAGCAAAACGACATTACATTTACCTACCGCAAATCTTTGTTTATTTTGCCTACTTAATATAAAAACACAAGCACTAGGTTATTATATTAAAAAATAATTTTTTTTGTTGATTACCATATATAGAAGATAGTCCCCATATCAATAGGAGAGATATGAATCCATCAATAATTCATTATCAATAAAAAAAATATCATCAATAAACATTTATATTAAATACATAAAGTAATTTTAAAAAAAATAAAACTGTAACAATTGATATTTATTAACTTAAAATTTTTAATTAAAACTTGACGTTAAAAATATATCTATAAAATAACACCATATAATGTAGACCAAGAGATATAAGTCCACAATTATGTGAAACCATTCACACCCTCATGGTCTCTAGTCAATGGTTGAGTTTTTCGAAGTACCAAATTGAAATTGACCTCTCTTTTCATTTTTTTGAAATGTCACGTGGAATGATGAACAATTAAATTACGATGCTTCACAATCCCGTGAAGAAAAGGACTTATATGTCGCATTCATGTACGTAGTTGGGAGGCATACCTCCCAGTTTTTTAGTTGAGAACTTAAACGATACTTTTAAAACAGTTAGAGGGCTTAAGATGCATTTAGCCTGATAGACATAAAAAAATATAAACCATGAGGCGCACAGCCACAAACAATTAGGTGAAAGTGTAACCATCCACACCGTCCCTACTCAATGGCCGCCGAGCTATTTAAATTTTGGTTTGTTGGGAAGAGGAGAGGTCACACCTTCAAATTTGGAATCAATAACTCGTTAAATGCTATTTGTTGAATTGTTGCCTACTACTACAATACAGATCATTAATTAGGACTGAAATGGTTTCAATTTTTAAAGAAAAAAACGTGAAGACACATGGAACCCTTAAATATTACTGCCTCTGTATGGTCGTTTAACAGTGAAAATTTATTTCTAGTTATCTGACATTTTAAGATTTCAATGTTACATTAACTTTTTTTTCTTTCAATTTTACCCTTCCCATCTACTCACAATAAATATAGAAATTAAAAAATAAAAAGAGCTAACTTTGAACTGTCATTCATTTCTCTCTTTTTTGCCAACCTCTTTTTCTTCTCTATTGTGATCTCACTTTTTAGTTTAGATTTTTTTTATTTTTGAATCCTTGAATTTTCAAGACATCATAACATGTCAGGACTTCCATCAAATCATCTATCACGTAAGTTTCAGTTATGACTTCTTGATTTTTTATTTTACTTTTATTTTTAGTGGTAGTTTTCTAGATATAGATTTTGGGTCAAGTATTTTGATTTTTTAGTTCTTGCCATATAAGCACTTTAATTTCATAATCAGATTCTTCTTTTTAGGAGCACTTGGTTTACGTACCCAAACTACCAAACAATTTCTGGTCATAGGCAACAAAATCTTTGATGTTCCATTAGAATATGGGTTATTGCTAGAAAATGAGAGTTTAAATCTAGATACCTCTGATTGTTTTCTCATCAAATAGATACTGATAATATGATTTCTAACATTTGACAACTGGCTACATCTATCCCACCTAACCCCAAACACCCTACATGATCTAGGTTGGGTTTTGTACCCCTTTTCTTCATCCCATTGACTCCAGGTTGAGAGAAATTAAATTGCTCCTTGTATAAAGTAATTTTTGGTAGAAACGAAAAAAGAAACAAAATCTAGAATGAAAAGTTTTGAGGGATTAGAATAAAGAATGAGTGGAAAAAAATTTTTTTTCCAAGCCACCCTAATTAATGATATATTTGAAGGATAGAAACGGATAAGTTTGAGGGAGATGAACTAGCAAAACTCAAAAATTGAAGTGAAGAGAGAGGGGTAAAATGATACTTTAAATATATTCATTGTTAAAATTGAGAGTCATTAATTGCTTTTTTTAACATGGTGAAAATACCTAAAATGACTAATATTTAGGAATAGATGGAGTACTATTAATACCTGCGTTGCAGCCAACGACCTCTCCGGCTCAATAATAAAGTAAAAACCTATGAATTTAAGTCGAAAATACATAGGTGGAATGATGGAAATAAGTTAAGAAGTGAAAAAAGATTAGCTAATTAAGTTGGATAAGACAATTATTCTTAATCAAATCACTTATATTTTGAAGGTATTTTTTTGTCACAAATGTATATAAAATGTAGGAAAATTAACATTAATTGTAATATTATTGTCAAATAGATGAATTTAATTGATCAATCAGGATACAAAAGACTGGGCTAAAAATGATCATCTAAGGCAAGTGATTGATTTTACCAAGCACCAAATTAGAAATTAATCTAAATTTACAGTAAAAAGTATGTAAAAAAAGAAATTATAATCATTTTATTTATCCAAAGTATTTATAACATTAAAGTACCAAATGTAGTATAGGGTTTCCCTTTTTAGTTCAAAATTTGTATAATTTATGATGGGTTGGTAAAAAAAGAAATTTTGAATGCTTGGCTAAAGTACTCATGGAAGGAAGAGCATTAGAAGATGGAGGATAGAAGATGGAGGAAAGACTAGTTCATTAAATGCAGGGATTAAAGGAAGAAAAAAAAAGTCTTCTCTCATATGTGAGCTAATTGTCTTCAATAAATTATAGGAAGACTCTAATCACTCTTTTCCTATTCATAAAGTAAAGCCATCTGTGAACAAACATGTTCAATAGATAGCTTTGTATATTCATGGTGAAAATTGAACAGTCTTCCAATACTCATGATTGAGTATCAACATTCTATTATAGTTACATCAACAATCTAAAATAGACCAAAAAAGATTTCACAAAATAATTTCAAATTAAGACAATCCGAACTATACTAAGCAATAATTAGATCTCAAATTAAAGCCTTTAACAGCATAAAAAAAAAAAATCAATAAGTTGCCTTCTAAATAACTCAAATGCAAATAAGCAATCTATAGAAAAGTTCGATTACAGCAAAATTGAAAGGATGAATATGAGGCTAGAAATATGACTAAAGTTTGTTGTTTTGCAACATCTCATTTCAAACAAATGCCTTTTCAATAGGGTTCATCTTTAGAAATTCACGGACTTTGTTTGATACACTAAATTCAAAATTCTCAACAGTTTAACATCCATGTCATAATACTTTATAGGAATGAGTGTCCTAAATGGTTCTGGATAATCAACTACATCAAATATACTAACAATGTTAAAGAGTACAAGTAAATAGATTAAGCAATTTGATAACTACAAAAATCATAATAATTAACCTTAAAACCTTGACTCTCTCATACAATTAACATCCAAACATTAACTTCCTAAGGCACTTCTCAATCAAAATTCATCCAAACATACTTTTGTATAACTCATTTGTTATTATTAAAATATTAAAACTTTCCCAACCATGTTAAAGAGTATGGTAAATGGATAATGATGTGTGCACACCCGGATCCCACACCCAGGTGTGCACACCTCCACATAAAAAAAAAATAAGATTCAACACCCGATCCAACTTTTTTTTTTATGTGAAGGGGTGCACACCCGGGTGTGGGATCCGAGTGTGCACCTATCATGATCCATGGTAAATAGATTAAGCAATTCACGTCCAACTTCCCCAACTCAACCTTAGGTTAGCCACACATAGGTTTGATCAAGATCAAGGCATCAAACAAATATTTTTATGGTATTATATGGATTTTCATCTTTTTTTGGGATTAATATTATTAAAATGCTAAAATCCTACCCTCTCCCTCCCCTACCATGCTCATTTTTTCACCTCTAATCTCTCTATTGGGTTGCCTAATTTTAAGTGAAAACAATTCCAATATCAATGACACTATTGCTTTAGTTGTGAATTGATAATAACTATTTTATTTTTAATTTTGAGTTTTAACATAAAATATTATAGACATATCAAATAACTTTATTGACAACAATTATCAAATTTTCAAGAAAGAAAATCAATATTAGATGAAAAAAAGTAAGAGACCCAAAACAAATAAAAGCAAAAAAGTAAAAAACTTCAAAATAAAGAAAACCAGGTTTAGGCCGGTGATGCCAGTGAAAACGAAGTGGAACTCTTCCGTAAGAGATCCACACCTCAACAATCACACATCAACAATGCTTGGATGAGGGTGTGATGCTTTCAGACCAACACGACCATTGTCAGTCTGACTAAGGGAAATAACAATGAAAAATTAGAAAAATAAAGGAAATTGTAAAGACGGTGATAATTAAGAAGCACGGAACGCCGTTTAATCACCGGCAATCACAGGTAAAATGACAGGAAAACCGATGAATAGTATGTGAGACCGAGGGTAAAAAGGACATAAAATATGTGGGGCCCAGTGGACTGGCTAGCAATAGAATGCGTCTTTTGTTAATTTGTGTGGAAAGACGGATTTGCCCATACAGCATAAATGCCAACAGAAAGACCAAAGGGTAGGCCAAAAATGGGTGAACGGTTTCCGCAGAGGTCCCGCCCTTCGAATAAATGAAGGAAATGACAAAAAAAACCCTGTCAGGAGAGCACTGTTACAGGGCTGGGCTTTTATAATTTTTGGTGGATGGATTTGACGAACATGTGAAGGATAATTTTTCTTCTTTTTGGGAGTTTGATACGTCGAAAAGTTTATGGATGTCTAACTGAAGAATTGATTTTCTGCATGGCTGCAGGCGCTGAGGAATCCACTGAGAGAACCCTGAGTACTGGAAATGTCTATGGTGAAGAAGAAGAAGTTGAGATTATAGAAGAAGTTGAGATCATAGAAGAAGTCGAGAAGGAACTGGACGTGGAAGGGGTTTTAAGGAAGCAAAACACACATGACCTAATCTGTCCAAATTGTCATTCTTCTATCACCAGAACGGTCATTCTTCGTAGAAGAAGAAAGCCGAAGATTCAGTTTGCTGAATCTATTGAAGCTCATGGTGAGGTTATTACAGACCCAAGTAGCAGTGCAACTCCAATACCTGCCCCTGATGAGCACCATAAGGATGAGGGACGAGAAGAGGCCTTCAAATGCTTATCATGTTTCAGTTTCTGCATTCCTACAGGTATTTTATGTGATACGAAGTAATTTCAAATGTTAAATTTATTAATAAATAAATATATATTACCTTATAAATTAAATTTAAAATTTAAGTTTTGAATAGTATTTT